CTTCAGCTCTGGCCCCCCGCCCTGGCCCGGCCCCCGGGGAGCCGAAGCCGCGCTGGAGACGGGCTGGCTGTGGGCAGTGCAGGGGGTGCGGGGCTGGCTGGAGACGGGCTGGCTGCGGGCAGGGCAGGGGGTGCGGGGTTGTTGCGGGCAGGGGGTGCAGCAGGGGCTGGCTGCCGCTGCGGGCAGGGCAGGAGGTGCGGGATGCGGGGCTGCCTGTGGGCAGGGCAGGAGCTCCCCTGCTTCTACTGCCCCGGCCCTTTAAATAGCTGCCGGAGCCTTGGGGAAGCAGCGGGGCTCCCGCGGTTATTTAAATGACCGGGGTGTCAGAGGCAGGTGGAGCCCTGGCTCTTTAAATAGAGCCCTCCGCTACCCCAGGGCTCTGGGGGCTATTTAAAGGGCCCGGGGCTCCCCTGCTTCTACCGCCCCAGCCCTTTAAATAGCCAAGGGAGCCCTGGGGAAGTGGCGGGGCTCCGGCGGCTATTTAAAGGGCTGGGGTGGTAGAAGCAAGGGGAGTCCTGGACTTTTTAAATAGCCCCCAGAGCCCCTCAGCCCTACCCCAGGGCTCCAGAAATGGGGCTCAACTCTGGTGGCAATTTAAAGGGCCTGGGGCTCCAGCTGCTGCTGGGAGCCCCAGGCCCTTTAAATTGCCCCCTGGGGAAGCCCGGACGGCTACCCGCCCTGGTACTGCGTACAGGCGGCGGCAAGGGTGCGGGGCCCTCTTAGGCGCAGGGCCCGATTCAGGGGAATCGCCGGAATCGGCCTAAAGCCGGCCCTGACTACATGGAGATCTGGCAGGTTCCTGGAGCTCCCTGCATCCCTGACACACACCCGGCTTTGCAGGGGAGCCCAATCGGAGAGCCGACGTGTGTTGCCCAAGGCACCAGGCCATGCTGGCAGTGGGGCGGCAACCCTCGGCCAGGAACAGGAGAGTTCATTCATTGTTCAAAACCAAAAGGCTAATTTCTCTATCGAAAACTGCCATAGAAAAACTTTTTAAAACTGCTGGAAACACCTAACTGGGGATTTTTAAAAAGCCCTTGATGGACTAAGTGTTTTTGTTTTAAAAAATTCTACCAGCTCCAAGCATCAGCCATGTTATATTCCTGCTGTCACCATTCGAGAGAATGTCTGTCCTGGCTGTAGAGAGACACCGGGGGGGAGGGGGGGAGGAGAATATCTGTTATTAGCCCAACTTCTGTTGGGGAGAGAGAAGCTTTCGAGCGTACACAGAGCTTTTCATCAGGACCTGAGGAAGAGCTCTGTGCAGCCCGGAGGCTTGTCTCTCGCACCAACAGAAGTTGGGCCAATAACAGATATTACCTCACCCTCTTTGCCTCTAATATCCTGGGTCCCACATGGCTACAACTACACTGCATACGTCTCCTGGCAACTACACTGCATATGTCTCACACAGACAGAAGATGGTTACATAAACACCACCCTATACTGGAAACCCACTGATCGCTATACTTACTATACTTACCTACATGCCTTCAGCTTCCATCCAGGACACACCACAGGATCCATTGTCTACAGCCAAGCTCTAAGATAGAGATAAACACCTACAAGATCTCTATCAAGCATTCTTAAAGCTACAATACCCACCTGCTGAAGTGAAAAAACAGATTGACAGAGCCAGAAGAGTACCT